CATAAATCATTTTTTATGAATGATTGAGTGAAAATAGTGTTTGTAAAGGATAATAAATTTCTTGACAAAAAAACAGTGCATCATTGGAGATGAAAACCAGTACCATTTTGTTGATATATGTTGATAACTGAAGGTGTTTGCTCTTTACAGTTTTTGCAGTTGAAAAACAAATTATCCGAAAGTAGTGTTTTTTTAATCTCTAAGATACAAAAGGAGGCTAAATAACATGGAAATTGTGAGTTTGTGTGTCGTGACATAGATATAAGAATACAAATATTTAAAAGAAATCCTATTAACTTACATGGGACACTTAAAAGAGTACACATTGCTTGCTGGTGACATTTAAATGGTAGCAAGGTAGAAATATATAGATTGTTATATTTTAGGTCTAGATTTAAATGTGGCATGTTCCTTTTCATTTACTTTATATTCAGTTTAATCCATGAAACATATTCAAGTGGGGTTCTGTTCAATATACTTCGGCTTTGAGAAGTTGACTTCAGTCCACCTGTTCCAACAAGTGCTGGGTGCTAGAGGCCCTACCCTTCCTTTACTGCCCATTTCTCTTCCTGTCCCTGCTCTGGTGTTTACCATGGCAGTTGTCCAGGTCTTTGGGGCCTTCCTTTTTAGGGGGAAATACTATTAATAGAATGAATTACACTGTGGTTTAAATTAGTTTTTGTAGTTTAGCCTACACCTAGCAACAGTTCATTTGTTTTATGGTAGAGGTTCTGAGCTTTAAATATCTTTTTTTTTTTTTAATATTCTTTTTAGTTATAGATAGACACAATATTTTTATTCATTTATTTTTTATGTGGTACTGAGAATCAAACCCAGGGCCTCACACGTGTGAGGCAAGCACTCTACCACTAAGCTACAAACCCAGCCCATTAAATATCTTAATTTCAATATGACACTTTTGTGTGTGTGTGCATTTGCTAAGTAAGGATCAAACCCAGAACCTAGCCTCATGCATGCTATAGGCAAGTGTTTACTGGTGTGCTGTATCCCCAATCCCTTGACACTTTCCTTAAAATCATAATATTAAAGCTTTCTCCTGGAAATACTTTTAAGCAGCTATCCTCACTGAACTTGCCTACCAGAAAGGAGGTAGTTTTCGGGTAAAGATGTTCCTGATTCCTCAGCTAATGAAGTAGTCTTGTCTCTTTCTCAGAGTGGTAACACAGGCCTTAACCAAAAATAACAGGGAGCCTGAAATTTCAGAACCCAGAAGTCTTAGAAAAAAATGACCTGTACAATAAGAAACTTTTAACTATGGAGACAGAGTATATTTTTGCTCAATCCATTTACTTTGTTGAGAAGAAAAACACTGTTTGGATTGGTAATTTCTAAAATTTTAAAGAAGGAAAAGAAATGTTAGGAAATATGCATTAGAACAGCAAAGAATCAAAGGAAAAAGTATAAAAGAAAGGGCACTGACAACGAAGAAGCGAGAGCCTGAGGCAAGTTATAAAGCTGAAAAATTATTCTTCCTTGCCAGTGATCAAGATATGAAATATTTTTAAAAATACATAGAAGAGGGCTGGAGTTGTGGCTCAGTGGTAGAGTGCCCGCCTAGTACGCGCGAGGCCCTGGGTTCGATCCTCAGCACCACATAAAAATAAATAAATAAAAAATACTTGTGTCCAAGTATAACTAAAAAAAAAAAACCCTCTTAATATAACAGGAGATTGCTTTCTTTAAAGAGGATCCTATGGTATTTTTTAACCACTCTGAGTGGGTCAGCAGGCACAGAGGAAAATTACCAAGGTTCTGTTAATTAAAAAACATTTTTTGAATCTTTCCAAATACAAAGAGTATTCCTATTATTAGCTCATTATCAATCAAAAAGCTAAGGATTAGTGTATGTCATTAATAGAATCTTGTGCTTTCCTTTTAAGTAGCTTTAAATATGTTTTCTTAGAGGTTTGTAATCAGAAAAAGTTCTTTTTAAAATCTTTTTACTAAAAAATCTATTCCAAGGTTCTAAAAAATCAACTAAAAAACCAAATGATACTGTCTCCCCTCAGCAGAGCTTATAATCTTATGGAGAATGCAGAAAAGCAGACAGGTGTTTAAAATGCAGTGAGGAAATGCATTGTACTAGTTGCTATATTTTGGGTCTCGATTTCCCCCAATGACCTATGATTACCAAGTCTTGGTCACCAATCTGTGGCACTGTTAGAAGGTGGTAAAACATTTTAAGAGGTAGGAAGTTAGGTTTTTAGGAGCCATGCCCTCAGAAGGGTTATTAGAAGCCAGTGGTCTCCTCCAGTTGCTTCTCTCTCCTTCCTGGTTGCCATGAGGTGAATAGCTCTACCACACACCCTCCTGCCACAGTGGACTGTGCAACCATAGGCCCAAGCAACGAGGCCACACAATGAAGTTCTGAAACTATACGCCAAAATTACCCCTTCCTTTTAAAAAGTTAAAAAAGTTGTCAGGTATTTTGTCACAGTAACAGAATGATAAATATTGGTTTAGGACCACCTCACATGGAACCATCTTTTCTGAGCCCTGAAGGCTCAAGACACTTTAGCTGATAAAATGAGCCTATACACGGAACCAGGATATGCACAGGCCTGGAGATAAGAGGATGGAAACTGGGCTAAAAATGGAGTATGAAAGGGAACTGGAGAGAGAAGGTTGACAGGAAAGGAGAAGGAATTCCTCAAGAACCTTGGTGGCTTTTATGCAGGGAAGTGAGGGGACCAGATCTGCTTGCCTCAGAGTGATTCAAGGAGTAAGAGTGGAAGTTGGTTACATAAGAAAAAAAATTGTTTTAACTGAGTGGTTAAGCGGGTGGAGCAGAGTGGATGGAATCTGAATATTTTAAGTATGGCTAATAGGAAGTGGTAAATGAATGGCTGAGTTTGTGTGGAAATCAGGGGTGATTCAGAATTTTTTGGCTTTGGCAACTAGATAGAGGAGGTGCCCTTTGCTTATGTAGATAGGAGACCAGTTTGGGCATAAGGATTTTCTAGAGATTGTGATGTCTTTGGGATATCCTGATTAAGTTGGCAAGTAGTTTTGCCTGAATCGGAAAAATGTAATCTGAGGTGATTGATGAATGGAAGACCACATGGCCCTAGACATGTAAATTAATGCTTTGGGGGTTGTAGTTGTTGGATTACAGGAAAAAGCTCACGTTAAACACACCATACCACTGTTAGGTAAATTGCTGTGTCTGTTTTATTGTTTTGCTTTCACATGGCTTGATTTTCTGACAAATAATATATTCCCTTAAGTATTAGTCAAAGAGCACCCTATTTAAAAGATTTGGAAGAAGCACTTGCTTCTTCTTTTCCCCTCTGGCTGTGCTTCTGGGTGCTGGAAAAAGATGGCAACAGGAAGATAAGCATTATGCAGGGCCACACATAGCTAAAACCAGTAGCAGAAGGATGAAACTGGACCCACAGATCTGACAAGTGAAAGTGACTGGTGACACTAGGGAGAACTCTTGCTTGAAGGGGGACAGAGGCTGGAAAATAGGTTGAAGCAGAGAGTCAGGTGAAGAAATGGAAGACTTGACTCAGCTGGGCTTGAGGAATACTTTCCCCTACTGTATTCTAGGAAGATTTGGTGTGACTGGAAAACATCACAAACTGCAAGCCCTACAACTCAGTTAAAATCCACTATTCTCTGTCTCAAGACTTAATCTTTGCTTAGGAATGCCCTATTTGGCCCTTTTGCCACTCCCACTTCATTTCTGCCCTGCGCCTTTGGCTTCCTCTAGACTCCCAAGCCTCTTCTGGCCAGTACTACAGATCCTTTAAGTTTACGCTGAAATAAGATAGCCCAGGAAGGCTCCTCCCTCTCGTGATTAGGCCTTGCCCCTTACCACTGTAAGCATAAACTTGAGATAAAAAAAAAAAAAAATCTTCCTAAGACTTCATACAGTGTGAGATCTAGTCATTGATACTTGCGCTCTCACTTATGTGCTTGTGAGGTTTCTTAAAAGATGTAAAAAGACATCCTGATGGCAATAATCCATCAAAGTGAGCTGACTAAAGAAGGCAAGAAAGTCACTAGGACCTTGGGACTTAGGAAAGATGTGAGAACACAGGATGTCTGGGATGCAGAATTGGGAGGTCTGGCAAGTTAAAGTGTGATGGAAAGTGGTTCCTTGACTGATCTTTGCAATATTGGTTTAAACACAAATTGGTTTATCACATGCCTCCAAATCTAAGGAGAGCAGGGAATCAGAATTGTTTCTGCAGTGAGGGACTATAAAAACTTGGGATGACTGAACATTTTCATTATCCTTGTTATCCTACACCTTACAAGTGTTTAAAATATTCGCTTCTGAAGAGTTGAGATGACCTGACATGTTTGCCTTCACACTAGGGTTTTTACTGTAGTCCTCGAATACTGCCTTCCACACAAATGAGTGTCAGCTTTTGGAGGACCATGTGATGATATTATGCAGCAGCTCCCTGAATAAGGTGCAGTACCTGCAACATCTGCTTAAAACTCAAAAACATCAGTCAACCTTCAAGGACAGCATGGTGCTTTATGTCACCTGTTGACTTATAGAATAAACTCTCATAACCAGAGCAAGGAGATTGTTACATCAAGATTGTTCTTTACAGGAAAATATAAGTGTAGACCATTGGGTAAACTCTCAAAACTACTCTTAAACTAATACTCTCAAAAAAAAAAAACACCAAAACTGCTGTATTGAGTGAGTCATAAGACTTAGGTGAATATGTGTTTTCTGTGAAAAGGTAGATCAGGGAGGTTCCAGTACTGTTATTTTACTACATTGTTGAGAGAAATTGGGGATGGGGGGCTTACATCAGAACTCTTCCTTTGGCATATCTCTTAAGGTTATATGGGAAAGCAGCTTGGTCATAAAACAGTGACTAATTCCATTAAAGCTTTAACTTAAGGCAAACCCACTATCCTTAACCAAAAGGTGAAAGCCGAATCTTTAGGAATCTAGCAGGGGGTGAAAGGAAAACAGCTTAAAAACAGTGAAAGTTATGATGAACACAGTCTTAAACGTTGAACAGATTACTTTATTTCTCAGCAATTCTATGCACATTAAACAGATGAATAGATTTTTTTTTCCTAAGTGAGAAAGCAAGAGCAAATTCACGTCAGCCCTAAGACCATGACACAAAGGGAAGTTGGAAAAGGACTGAGATAAAGTCTTCTAAGGTTCCCTTCACATTGTTCTTCAGTTTGCCCTTTCTGGATGGACAAATCTTAAATGACTGCATAAAGGATATTACATATGAGGAACGTTCAAGTTGGGGACAGTCAAAGAACACACAGAGACCCTGCCTTTGGTGACTGCAGGGCAATATGGACCAGCTCTCCAGGTAGAAGTCCCACAACTTTTGGGTCCAATTTTCCTCTCTGAAAATCAGGGTGTTAATCAAATGACCCCTGAGGCCCAAGCATCTCAAATCCTGTGAATTATTCTACTTCACCCTTTAGAAAGAGTCACTGAAAGTGAGTCATTAGCATGACTTTGCCAGTGATTGGCAAGTAGTAAGAGCCTGCTTACCAATAGTATTGACTGACTCACACTTAATGCATTATCATTGAATTACGATTAAAATCATTTCATTAACCTTTGATTTTTCAAATCATTTTGTGAGCTAAATGTATAAACTATGACAAAAACAACTACTGCATTTCTCTCACCTTTCTAAACATTTCCAATTTATAACACTGTCTATGTCCTTCAACATCAACCAAGTTTCTACTTTGACTTGGGTAATAAAGAAGCTGCACATCTGTCCTCAGTGCAGTACCTGTATGTCCATGCTCTGCTGTGGGCATGCAAATACCAGCTCTGTTAAGTCTAATTAGTCATTATTTGACAATACATACTTACTAGAAAAGGTTTCACTTTGCCCACACATACGAAGCAAAGAAAGTAGAGAGCAAAAATGTTCAAATTATAAATCACTTGGTAGCCTCCTGTACATTAGAGAAGACAGTTTTATATGAATAGTCTTTTCAAAATTACCACACAAAACATCGTTGTATTTAGGCTTGGTTAAAACTGTTTTCGTTAATAGAGCTCTTCGCCATTGATTGTCTGAATCAACTAGCTAGTCCTTCAGTGTGTGCCAGTGAAAACAGAAATAGGGGCTGATTGGCACTGGCACTTGGCACAGTGAGGAGGGAACCCAGGAAGTTCTCTGTGTGCAACCCATCTCTCTTTCATCTGAGAAGGACTCTCCTGCAGAGTTGGATTCCAGAATAAAGAGGTGCTAGTGTCATCACACTGTAAGAACTTGTTTTCTACTTTTGGTGTTGATCTTCTAATGAAGTAACTATTAGCCAGAAAAGTTTGACAGATTTTGACACTCTAGCGCAGACACTTTAAAAGTACCCCCCCCAAAAACTGTCTTAATCCCATTTTCCTACAGAAAGTAAAACTGTACAATAATCATCTTTAGATGTACAATTAGTACATTTCACAGTTTTGAGTACTCAGTCACTTGTGAATATTTTGTAGTGATCTCTTCAGTCCTGATGTGATGTATGTGATTCCAGTTTTTCAGAGTGTATGATTCTGCTTTTCATGCTGATCAAGTAAATTTATGGTGTCTCTCTTCTGGTCTTCAGCATTAAAAACTGAAAAGGAAAAAAGTTGGATAATATTCTAATATTAAATATGTTGAGAAATCAGTCTGGGCACATCCCATTTCACTAAGTTCCTATAAACTGTCATAAAGAGGACTGTATCTCCCATACCAACATTGTACTTTGGCATTTCATTTCAAATCAAGACGACAATAAACAGATGTATATGGCCAACAGTGTACTATGAAACAAAAGCTACAACATCCAAAAACCTGGCAGTGGTTTAATACACTGAAATAAGTCCATGGCCCTCCTGTGCTGTATGACTTCTTTACGTGCACTTTACCAGCCCACACTGCCTCCCAAGAGCCTTGGGAGTCTTGCAGCTTCAGGCCACTTGTTACTGAAAGTGCTGTATACAGAACTGAGTGTGCCTTCCATCAACAGGTCTTACTCAAAGGACATAAAAGTCACAAAGTCTTATAAACTATGTTCCATATTAAAATGTTAATTTAAGGGCTGGGGGTGTGGCTCAGGGGTAGAACCCTCTCCTTGCACGTGCAAGGCCTTGGGTTCGAGCCTCAGCACCACATAAAAATAAATAAATAAAGTAATTGTGTACAACTACAAAAAAAATATTTAAAGTTAATTTAATGAATTAAATGACTGCCATATTAAATTAATACTGTCTTATAAAGTTGGAACCAATGGCTTTTTCATCTACTTTCTCGGGACAAGCAAGGTCTTAAATTCAATGACATAATCTTAAAATGATGCCGAAGCTGATGTTGAGGACTTTTCTTCACTAAAACTATCTTAAAAGACTGAAAGAAAACTTCTTTATTGTTTTAGTCAGCTTTTTTTTTTTTTGCTGCTGTGACTAAAAGATCTGACTAGAACAATTTTAAAGGAGGAAACGTTTCTTTGAGGGCTCATGGTTTCAGAAGTCTTAGTCCATAGAAGGCCGGCGCCATTCCTCAGGGCTCAAGGTGAGGCAGAACATCATGGCAGAAGAGTGTGGCAAGGGAAGCAGCTCATTTAATGATCAGAAAGCAGAGAAAGGTCTCCACTTGCTAGATACAAATATATACCCCAAAGCCACACCCCAATTCCCACCTCCTCCAGCCACACCCTACCACTTCAATTACCACTCAGTTATTTCCTACCAGGGGATTAATTCACTGATTTCTGTACGTTCTTGCATTGTCTCACATGAAAGCTTTTTCAGGGACACCTTACATCTAAACCATAACATTTACCTTGCCTACCTCTTCACAAGGTCCAACCCTTAGTAGGACATCTGGATGTAAGGGATGAAAGAATACCTGACTTCAGTGCAAAGCCAAACATTTAGTAGCACATTAGGCTCAATTACAAGGGTGTGACAAGCCCATGAAACAGGCTCTTCACAAATCAAAGGACATCAGTGGAGTCAATGAAGTACAAAGAGTAGAAAGATGGAGATAGCTAAGTAGTCCATGAAAATAATTTAAAAATCAAGTTAGGAGTTCATTTCTAGAAACTCTAAAACAACTCTGCCAACTTGAACAATTGGCATCACTGCTAAGTATGAAAGGCATTTTCCAAAAATATTACTATGGGGTTAGACAATCCCAAATGGAGGGACTTTCTACCAAACACCTGGGACGCTATACTTCAAAAAAGATGAACAGAGTTAATAAGAAATAAATACAGAAACAGTTCCAGGTTAAAGGATACAAAAGAGAAATGACAACTGAACAGTTTAGTTTAAAAAGGTTTGGGGTTTAAGTGTGAGTTTATAGTGTACTTAATTCAACTGAACTACAAAAAAGGATATTAGTTAGCCACATAATTTAAGGAAAGTCTACATAGTAGATAACAGCACTGCATCAAAATTTCTTTATTTGGACAATTGTATTGCAGTTAATGAAGGCTATATAGAAATAAACTTAAAATCTAAGTTCTCTGAAAAGTTAAAAATGTTAAAAATATGAAACATTACAAATAATCCACTGTTTGGTGGTATAAGACAGCCTCTGTAAGGTCAGAAGTCAAGTGCAGTAACAACTCCTGGAGGTAATGAACAATGAAGCTGGCTGTGACCATAAAGATTACTGCTTCAAGTCTGAAGATACTGGACTTCCCTCCGTTTCCAAAGGAGTAGGGGTACAAAAACGTGGATTCCACTGAAGGTGGAACCTCCACATAAAACTGAAACCCCAAAGTTCAAAGCCCTAATTTAAAGGTAATGGTAATTAAACCTGTGAAGAAAATGGGACATCAAGAAAGATTACTGTCCAAATGAGACCACTTCCAACAAGATAATCACAGGCATACAGTCTGAATTCATAATACCCTACACCATCAAAGAAACTAGAGGGTTTATCTTAAAAGGTTATGAATTTTAGTGCCCTTATTTCAACTGGCAAACTATCTTCTCAAGGAGTGTAGCTGTCTTCAGACTTCCCTTGGATAAAGTTCCAAGGAATCTAGTGGCTCACAGTGAAAAAAGCCTAAAACATAAGGAAACTAAGTGCCATGGGTGAGAATCTGCCATAGAACTCATGAATTAAAGAGCAGATAAGGAAAATCTGGAAGAAAAACTTGGAAACATCTGAAAAGATTTTTCTTTTTTGAAGGAAAAATTTGTAAAGTGCAAGAATGTTTTTGAGGAAATAATCTATATGCAGCCCAGAGAGGCAGAAATAGAAAATATGAGGGAAAAAAATAGAGGCAAAGGAATCAAAAACAAGAAGCACACTCCTATAATCCCAGTGGCTTGGGAGGCTGAGGCAGAAGGACTGCAAGTTAGAGGCCAACCTCAGTAACTCAGCAAGACCCTAAGTAACTTAGACCCTGTCTCAGAAAATAAAAAGGTTTGGGGATGTGGCTTCTGGTTAAGTGCCCCTGTGTTCAACCCCTAGTACAAAACAAAAGAAGCATTATTCAAGGAGACATTAGCTGAGCTTTCCTGGAAATTAGGCTTAGCAGGTATTACAGCTATCATACTTAAAACAGTATAAAGCAGGGTAAGCCAAAAGAGAAATGAATGGCAGAGAAATGAGAGGTATAGACTGATCAGGGGTGACCAGACATTTCATTTGTTGGGAAATTCCCTAAATGTCACTGAAAATAATTCCTCCAACAGATATCTTGGACTTCTTTGTTAGCCCTTGCCCTGCTCCACTGTCCCTGTGTTAAAGGCTTCTAAGAATATAGTCTCCTTGAAATGACTCACTACTTACAGTGTTATTGACATTAGTTGGACAAAGTGAAGGACCAGAAAGGAGAAATGAAAGAAGTTTCCTCACCATCATTATTACCATTCAAGTTTTTGTCGTTCCCTGCAAGGGCTGCCTGCTTGTCTGTTTCGGATTCTGCCTCATTTTCATCCATGTTGTAGTCATCATCTGCTAGTCTTTGCTGGTTTCTCCCTATAAAATCAACACATAAAACACAATCTACATTATTTCTCTTGTGCCACAGAAACACCAGGACCTGGATACTGGGGATTACCCAGTCATCCTTAACAATCAGATCCTTGTTACCTCTCAAGAAAGAGTGTTTGCTTCTAGTACAAATGCCATGTAAGAGTGTCCTTATGAATGTCCCACTAAGCTTTGATTCTATATAAAATAAGGTCCTGGCAGCTGGAGACACAGCTCAGTGGTAGGTACAACAGTCTGCCTAACATGAGAAAGGCATGGGTTTGATCCCAGCACTGCAAAGTAGGGGATGGCGGAGAAGCCAGGAGCAATGGCATTAGCCTGTAGTCCCAGCAACTCAAAAGGCTGAGACAGAAAGACTGCTTGAGACTGGTCTCAGTAACAGAGCCTCGCACATGCAAGACCCTGGGTTTGATCCTCAGCATCACATAAATAAATAAATAAAATAAAGTCATTAAAAAAAAAAGAAAAAGAAAAAAAGGGCGGAGGGGGGTTGTATCTAGCTAAGTAAACCAAAAATTTTTAAAGGAACAATCATCTCTCTCTAGGTTAAAGGAAAGTACCACTGTTGTTTTAACATTTCTTAGAATGGCTCACTGCTCCAAGACAGGGAATGGAGTCAGTACAGTGAATCAAAGGATAAAACTGTCCATACAGAATTGGATCATTCAATACCATGTTCATCCCTAGACAGAAGAGTGGCCAGAAAAGAAGACCAAGGCAAAATACATTCAAGAGACCCATTCAAAGGGTTTAACTTTAAACCATTTATTTTTTTTAATATTTATTTTTTAGTTATAGGTGGACACAATATCTTTTTATTTTATTTTTATATGGTACTGAGGATTGAACCCAGTGCTTCATGCATGCTAGGCAAGCGCTCTACCTCTGAGCCACAACCCCAGCCCCTCTAACCGTGTATTTTTTTATATAGATAAGCAAACCATTTTTTTTTAAATATGCCTGGAAAATCTGCTTTCGTTGTTTCTCTGTACTCACTGCCTGATGGAAGCAAAGCACATACTACAGTATACTGTAGGTTTTTTCTTCAGAAGAAATCATCACAACTGCATCTGGAAATAGGTGCAGTTAAAAAGCCACATTGGCCTTTAACTCTTAAAACTCTGTGCTCAGGGACTGGGGTTGTGGCTCAGTGGTAGAGCACTCGCCTAGCACATGTGAGGCCCTGGGTTTGATCCTCGCACTACATAAAAATAAATAAAATACAGTTATTGTGTCCAACTACAACTAAAAAATAAATATTTTTTTAAAAAACTTTGTGCTCAATGATCTGACACTTGAGAGTCATGGGATAATCCAACAGTATGTGTTTTCCCTATCACCCTCCCAACATGAGCATCTTATGGCTGGGCAGGTATGTAAAGCAGGGACCTAAGCAGTGATGCCTTTAGCGAGAGGGTGATAAAATACAATTCTTTAGGCCAGGCACAGTGGCACATACCAGTAATCCCAGTGGCTCAGGAAGCTGAGGCAGGAGGATAGTGAGCCTCAGCAAAAGTGTCTCAGTGAGACCCTGTCTCTAAATAAAATACAAAATAGGTTTGGGGATATGGCTCAGTAGTTGAGAGTATCCCTGAGTTCAATCCCTGGTGCCTCAAAATAAATAAATAAATTCTTTAATTGGAACTTGGGAGGACACGTTCTTCCAAAAGAGAAACAGAGGTGAAAATGAGATTTAATTAGTAATCAGGGTGACTTCTACAAATGAACACATTCCCAACTTCTGTTATTTGGTTTATACCAGAAAATAGGTTTCATGTCTTCATCAGTGTTCCTGGCTAAGGTGGAATGGAAATTTTCCACAACTTCAAGGCACTGAAATAATAATTCAGTTGATCTCATTCCAACTCTTTTCTTTTTTCTTTCTTTCTTTTTTTTTTTTTTTTTAGCAGTACTAGGGATTGAACTCAGGGGTTCTACCACTGGAGCTACATATCCTCAACCTTTTTTATTTTGAGAGAGGGTCCTGCTAAATTGTTGGGGCTGTCCTCAAACTTGGCCTCAGCCTCTCTAATCTTTGAGATTATAGGTATGCACACCATACCCAGCCCCACTCTTTATTTCTTAGGAAACAAAAAAGGTAGGATTCGCATGGCTCTTTTTCAGTACTCAACTAACTCTAACTGCACTAAATCTCGCAGTCCTTACTTCTTGAGTCATTCACCAGTACTGTCTGTACAGCACACCACATGAAGTAGAGATACAGAGACAGGCCTGTGGGTGGTCCTCCTGCCTGCAGCTGAATTTACTGTGTTAAGCACCCACCTCCAGGTCAAATACCTGCAAAGTCCCCTGGACTTCCTGTTAACATTGTGTCTGAAACTTGAAGTGCTGTAGTGTACACTGCTACTCTTCTTGCCTCCCACTTTATAATGAATAATAAACAAAGGAGGAACTACCAAATCTTGAATTGCATTTGGAAAAATTCAACAGGATGCATCCAGTGTTGAGACTGAGTGAGATCAAGAGGGCTGAGCCTAGCAGTACGAAAAGCTCACAGGTGACCCATGGAGCCTCTCACCTTCCTTGGCAGCGTCCTGTTCCTCCTGCCCATCTCGAATAACGAGTTGGTCACGCTCAGGGTCTTCACCCTCCTGATTTTCTGGCGCCTGTGGAGTTTGGCTGAGTTCTGCTCCCACAAAGCCTCTTCCACCCACAGGTTTGTCTTCCACAGCCTGTTCGTGGCTTGGCTCCTGGGGCGGCAGCAGCAGCAGGCTGTCTCTCTGAGGCTCCTCCTCACTGACAACCTGAATCTCGTTGGTTTCCTCTGTGCACAGAATACAGTTAGTTCACCAGCACTTAATTTTAAAAAAATAAACAAACCCCCCCAAATCTGGGGCCATTCAATTCCCAGAGTGTTTCTGAGAAATGGGGACAGGGTGAGCTCTATACTGGGGGGGCTGCTGGGGAGCTTATTTTTATGACTTCCCCGACAGACCTCTCTGTGCCACAGTTCATCTTCAGTATGAGGAAGAGACGTTGTTTAGCAAAGTAATCTGGACTAAATTATCTCAACAACCTACAAGTCCTGGAGGAGGCGCTGCTGTGTTATGATCATGTCTGTTAGAGACTCCTGGGAGCCAGAGCTTTTCATCTTACAGTCCTTTAATCCTACAGTCCCACTGGTGTCCTCAATAAAAGGACCTTTACTTATACAGCTGCCAAAGAACAAGGCACTAAAAGGATAAGACGTCAGCAAGACAGAGAAGCCCTGTGGCCCCAATTCCAAGTGCTCAGAGAGAAACCTGCACCTGTCAGCCCCATTACTGAGCTCAGTGGCTGGCTCCAGCCACACACTCTGCCCCTCAGAGTATCCATATGCAGTAGGAGAACAGGAGCTGCCATGCTGGTTAAACTGCCAGGCTCTGCTTACCTTGCTTACCTCGTCTCTTCAAATCCAAAACCACCTCTAAACTGGGGGCTGGTGTCTGGGACTTGCCTTTGCCTGGCACGTTTCCCTTCCCTTGTGGCCCCTGTGCCTGGGGCAGGCCTGCTTCCTGCAGTCCGGGCTCAGATTCACTGAGAGCCTGGGGCTGAAATGGAGCACAGGACAGCCAGGGTAGGATCTGGGATCAGAAACCTTATGAGGATCTCATGAAAGCAATGCACAACACACCCTTCCCACAAACGAGGACACAGGAAACCCTGAGAAATACCACAGTCTACCATGATCCTGCTGTCACGAGGCATAAATCAGAAGATAGGTTAAGTTCAGGTCCTCCGAAAGGCACTTGATTTTCTGCCTAATTTTCCACACTGAACAGGAAAAAAGACATGAACAGTACAACAGACCAACTAGACCAAACATATATGTCAACCCAAGAGAAAAATTTACCTTCTTCTCAAGTACACATGGAACACTCCCCAAGAGGGCCATAAAGCAAGCCTCAAGGGTCTAAGTGACTGCACTCATACAGAGCAGGTAGAAAGAAGGTTTTGCCATCATACAGAATGAAGCCATAAATCAGTAACAGAAAGAAATTTGAGAAATTCACAAATGTGCAGGTATTAAGACATTCCCAGTAACCTACAGGATCACACAAATCGTAAGCCAAATTAGAAATATACTTTGAGAAAATGAAAACAAAAACACAGCATGGGAGCCAGCTGAACGCAGCACAGGGAGGGACATTGACACTTCCAGACACCCATATTAAGACAGACTTCTGGTTTCTAGTTGGTTGTGTAAGGAGCGAGGTCATCACTTGGTCCTTACAAGTAAAAAGCTGAACAGACTGAAAAGCCATCAAGTCCCCTCAAATCTTGTCACAAAAGAGGTGAGGGCACAAAGCAAAGCCCTGCCCCTAAGACTTCAGAATGGAGAGCCGAACACAGAGTCACGGCTGACCAGGGCAGAGACATGGAAACCCGTGCCGAGGCAGGGAACCGGAACTGTAATTATGAACTGCGGGAGGCTCAGTGTGACGGGCTTGAGGGTTAGCCACTCTGGGGGGTCCAAGTCACAACCTCCAGGAGCTCAATCAATTCCCAAAATGAACACCAGAGAAGGCTTCTGGTAGTGGAAGGTAGAAAGGAACCATTCAAAAATAGGCCAGAGCACTCTATGATCCTTCACAAGGTCTACCCTAAGTTACTGTGCTATTATCAGAGGCTGACTATTGCCCATGTCAGTCATCCTGTCCCACTTGGGGGTGCTGGGTTCTGGGAAGCATATGTGAAGTTCCCAGCACAGAGGCAGAGGCTCACTGAGTGAGACCTCACAGGACTACAGAAATGCCTCCCCTCCATCACACCTCACCAACACATTACTAAGGGCCTATTTACAGCAGTCCCTTTTACCCAATATATCATGTCCAGCGCCAAGAAAAACCTGGAAGGCATTCTACAAGGAAATAAACTCAATCTGGAGGGAGCAAGTGTGAGAAGCAAACATGGCAGAGATGGTAGCATTACCAGATCAGGAATCTAAAACAAATACAAGTAATATGCTGATCCTTTGGTGGATACAGCAGACAACAGGCAAGGAGAAAGGCAGTGTGGCAGAGAGATGGAAAACACAAGAAATGCTAGAACTCAAAAAATGAAGAAGAGCTGGGGAAGTAGCTCAGTGGGAGAGTGCTTGCCCAGCAGGTGCCAGGCCCCAGGTTCCACCCCTGCAGCACCACAAAATAACAATAAAAATGCTAACAAAATTGGAAGAATGTCTTAATGGGCTCATTAATACAGACACAGTCAAGGAAAAAACCTGAGTTTGAGAGGATTTTTAAAATTTATTTATTTTAATTAGGTATGTATGACAGCAGAATGCATTTTGATTCACTGCACACAACTGTAGCACAAACTTTCATTTCTCTGATTGTACCTGATATAGCATCGCACCACATGTGCAAGTCACACATGTACCTAAGGTAATGATGTCCACCTCATGAAACATGAGATGATGAACATGAACATGAAAGGGTGCTGGACTCTGTCAAATGCTTTCTCTGCATCTTGATAATTATGATTCTTTAAGTGTATTGATGTGATGAGTTATATTTATTGATTTCTGTATGTAGAACCAAATTTGCATCCCTGGAATAAACCCCAGGGTTTATTTTTTATATGTTTTTGTATGTGATTTGCCAGAATTTTATTAAGAATTTTTCCATCAATGTTTATCAGGGATATTGCTCCATAATTTTCTTTCCTTGATGTGTCTCTGGCTGGTTTTGGTATCGGGATGATCCTAGGGTTCCCTCCTTTTCTATTTCATGGAATAATTTGAGGAGTACTGGTATTAATTCTCCTTTTTAGTCTTGTAGATCTCAGCTGTGAATCTGTCTGGTCCCAGGCTTTTCTTGGTAGGTAGGATTTTGACGGTGTCTTCTTATTTCCTTTTGAAATTGATCCGTTTAAATTGTGTGTGTCCTCTTGACTCAGTTTGGGTTGATCATATGCCTCTAGAAGTTTGTTGGTATCTTTGAGGTTTTCTATTTTACTGGAGTATAAATTTTCAAAATAGTTTCTAATTATCTTCTGTATTTCAATATAGTATCTGTCATATTTCCCTTTTCATCATGAATTTTGATAATTTAAATTTTTTCTCTCCTCCTTTTCATTAGGGTGGCTAAGGGTTTGTCAATTTTACTTGTTTTTTTCAAAGAACCAATTTTTGTTCTGTCAATTTTTTGAATTCTTCATTTCAATTTCATTGATGTGTACCCTGATTTTAATTATTTCCTGTCTTCTACTACTTTTGGTGTTGGTTTGTTCTTCTTTTTCTAGGGCTTTGAGATGTAATATCAGCTCATTTATTTGTTGACTTTTTCCTTCTTTCAACGAATGAGTTTAATGCAATGAACTTTCCTCTTAGCACTACCTTTCTAGTGTTCCACAGATTTTGATAAGTTGTGTGAGAGTTCTCATTTACCTCTAAGAACTTTTTTTTAGAGAGAGAGAGAGAGAGAGAATTTTAATATTTATTTTTTAGTTTTCGGTGGACACAACATCTTTGTTTGTATGTGGTGCTGAGGATCGAACCCGGGCCGCACGCATGCCAGGTGAGCGCGCTACCGCTTGAGCCACATCCCCAGCCCTAAGAACTTTTTTTTTAATCTCCTCTCAGACGTATTCTGTTATCCATGCCTCATTCAAAAGTGTATTGTTCAGTCCCCAGGTGTTTGAGTAGCTTCCGTTTTTTATTTTATTGTTGATTTCTAATTTCATTCCATTATGGTCGGGTAGTATTTCTATTTTTTTGTATTTGCTAAGACTTGCTTTGTGGCATAACATATGGTCTATTTTGGAGAAGGATCCATTTGCTGCTGAGAAGAAAGTGTATTTGCTAGTTGATGGATGGAATATTCTATATATGTCAGTTAAGTCCAACATATTGATTGTATTATTGAATTCTAGTTTGTTTAGTTTTTGTTTTTGTTTGGAAGATCTATCCAGTGGTAAGAGAGGTGTGTTAAAGTCACCCAGTATTATTGTGTTGTGGTCTATTTGGTTCTTGTAGTTGAGAAGAGTTTGTTTGATATACATTGATGCCCCATTATTTGGGGATAGATATTTATGATTATTATGTCTTGTTGATGTATGAATCCCTTAAGCAGTACAAATATCCTTCTTTATCCCTTTTTACTAGCTTTAGTAAAGTGGATATATCTGATATGAGGATGGAAGCCCCTGCTTATTTACGTGATCCATGTGAGTGGTATGTTTTTTCTCATCCTTTTATCTTCAGTCTGTGGATGTCTTTTCCTGTGAGATGAGTCTCTTGAAGGCAATTATTGTTGGCTCTTTTTCTTTTAATCCAATCTGTCAGTCTGTGTCTTAGTTGATGAGTTTAGGCCATTCACCTTCAGGGTTATTAATGAAATATGATTTGTATTCCCAGACATTTTGGTTTTTAACTTGACTTGGCTTCTCCTTTGATTGGCTTTCCCTATAGTGAAGCTCCTCCCTTTGCTGATTTTCATTGTTGTTTTTCATTTCCTCCTCCTGGAATGTTTTGCTTCAGAACGCTCTGTAGTGTAGGCTTTCTCACTGTAAATTCTTTTTTACATGAGAAGTTTTTATTTCATCATCAAATCTGAAGCTTAATTTTGCTGGATACAAGATTCTTGGTTGGCATCCATTTTCTTTCAGAGCTTGGTATTATTTTGTTCCAAGATCTCCTGGCTTAGAGGGTCTGGGTTGAAAAATCTGCTGAGATCTGAACTGGTCCCTCTATATGTTATCTGATTCTTCTTTCTTGTGGCCTTTAAAATTCTATCCTCATTCTGTATGCTAGGCATTTTCATTATAATGTGCCTTGGTGTAGATCTGTTGTAATTTTGTACATTTGGTGTCCTGTAAGCCTCTTGTATTTGATTTTCCAATTCATTCTTAATGTTGGGAAATTTTCTGACATTATTTCATTGAAGAGATTGTGCATTCCTTTGGTTTGAATCTCTGTGCCTTCCTCTATCACAATAATTCTTACAGTTGGTGTTTTGATGCTATCCCATAATTCTTGGATGTTCTGCTTATGATTTCTTACCATCTTTGCTGCGGTCAACTTTATTTTCAAGACTCTATATTCTGCTTTCATTACCTGATGCTCTGTCTTCCAAGTGATCTAGTCTGTTGGTGATGCTTTCTGTAGAGTTTTTTCTTTCATATATTGTTTCCTTCATTTCAAGGATTTCTGATTGTTGGATTTTTTTTCTTTCTTTCAGTATCTTTCTTTCTTGAAGTAATCTTTTCCTACCTGTATTTGCCCTTATCTCTTTGTTGGAGTGATTAATTTTTGCCTGTATTTGCTCACTTAGGTCTTTCTTTAATTTGTAGATCATTTTAATTATGTACATTCTGAACTCCTTTCATCAACTGCGCTGTTCATGGATTCTACTATTGTAGTATCTTAGTTTGTTTGGGACACTTTCTTTCCTTGTTTTTTCATGTTGTCTGTGTATCTTCCTTTCTTGTAGTGCGGATCTGAGATATTACAGTTTCTATCCTATAATCTTGTAGTGTCCCTGCAGATTACCTGTATCTCACCTTGGTGTTTGGCTTCTTGTCCCTGGCTTGTGTCCCATGATGGATG